ATGATGATGATGATGATGATGATGATGATGATGATGATGATGATGATGATGATGATGATGATGATGATGATGATGATGATGATGATGATGATGATGATGATGATGATGATGATGATGATGATGATGATGATGATGATGATGATGATGATGATGATGATGATGATGATGATGATGATGATGATGATGATGATGATGATGATGATGATGATGATGATGATGATGATGATGATGATGATGATGATGATGATGATGATGATGATGATGATGATGATGATGATGATGATGATGATGATGATGATGATGATGATGATGATGATGATGATGATGATGATGATGATGATGATGATGATGATGATGATGATGATGATGATGATGATGATGATGATGATGATGATGATGATGATGATGATGATGATGATGATGATGATGATGATGATGATGATGATGATGATGATGATGATGATGATGATGATGATGATGATGATGATGATGATGATGATGATGATGATGATGATGATGATGATGATGATGATGATGATGATGATGATGATGATGATGATGATGATGATGATGATGATGATGATGATGATGATGATGATGATGATGATGATGATGATGATGATGATGATGATGATGATGATGATGATGATGATGATGATGATGATGATGATGATGATGATGATGATGATGATGATGATGATGATGATGATGATGATGATGATGATGATGATGATGATGATGATGATGATGATGATGATGATGATGATGATGATGATGATGATGATGATGATGATGATGATGATGATGATGATGATGATGATGATGATGATGATGATGATGATGATGATGATGATGATGATGATGATGATGATGATGATGATGATGATGATGATGATGATGATGATGATGATGATGATGATGATGATGATGATGATGATGATGATGATGATGATGATGATGATGATGATGATGATGATGATGATGATGATGATGATGATGATGATGATGATGATGATGATGATGATGATGATGATGATGATGATGATGATCAATTGGATCATCATTACGTAAATTCTAATTCTGCTTACTACTATTATTATTTAGTTAGTAGTTCTAATAAAAATCAGTATTAAAATGGTCCAAAGTATATTTTAAAGAAAAACAACCCAAAGTATATATTACAACCAGATTGTTTTCTTTTTTTCTATTATGTCATACTTTAGTTGTAACTAGGTTGAACAAATGTAATCTCTTACGTCATTCATTGTAAAATAACATATTGTACAATGGAATTGATTCATATTGTAATGTATTGCAAAGAATGTCATATGTTTATTAGAAAGTAAGGAAGAAAGAATACACAGTTGTGTTGTAATAAAATTATAGATTGAACATTGTGAATATTCAAAACATGTGTGGTTATGTGAGGTGGATAGAGTGGTTTTGGATCTTCCATCCTTATATATGGAGAACACTTAGAACACTTCAGTTCTACTTGAAGTCTGGGTAAGACTCTAATTTACGGACGAGCCAATCAGAAGCGTTTGAGAAAGTTCAAGATTACAGCGTCAAATGCTAACGAACGATCGGTTCATAAGAGATTTTGTATAAAACGTGATAATTGAGCGGCTATAACAAATAAAACAGCGAGACTATAATGTGTGGACGAATCAATGAGGTATAAGATAACACATCTCGGATTTTAACGCGAAAGCCTTCCATCCATTTGGTTAAATAGATTTCTGGCATTATAGTAAATGTCAGTTTGTGATGAAAACGCTATATATAATTCCTAACTAAGACAAATTAAGAGTTATTGCGAACTGGATAATAAAAGCACTAGTAACACTGGCTGCAGTCGGGTACTACAATATATATATATATATATATATATATATATATATACGGATGATTGGAGAGCGTACAGACTTCTACATAGACTTGATTATGTGCATCGTGTCGTTACCTACAAGTTTCATTTTGTGTACTCAACAACCAGAGTGCACATAAAAAATATTGAACCCATGTGGTTGAGGCTGAATGAGTTTTTGAGACTCTATCATGACTCCGGAGGCCGACTATTCTGTAGCCATATGGATGATTTCTTCATGCATTAAGATTTTAGAACCTGTGAACCTCTTTCTCACGTTGACAAGTTTTTGAACCATGTATAAGATGTGTATCCACTTTATTTCTCTAGTTTTGTATAATATATTTTTACTCTATACTAACCACTTTCTGATTGGCTAATATTTCTCAAGGTCACTTAATATCCGTTCAAAGGTCGTCCATAAATTAGAGTCTTGCCGAAGTTTGTACTGATGATATTGTTCAGAAGAATAATGAGAAAGCTTCAAGACCAAATCATCTAGCTCAAAGAGCAAAACGTCTTTAAAAGTATCCACCTAAGCTACAAAATCTTCATCATATGTGTAAGTATAGTTTCTTAACAATGGCTAGATACTATTTATGTTCGTACATTAATGTTGACGACCGATCATGCTTCCGTAACTTCTTTTTATATAATTATATACCTATATGATTACATGAATGTAAGTTAATTCTTTAGTAATATCCACTTGTTTCTCGTGATAACTAGGGACAAGAAAAACATACGAACCAGAGTTTTGTTACTTCTTGTGTTTCTCAATAATGAGATCAGAAAGAATTTTATCAATATTTTATATTAAAAGTCGTTTTATTGTCACATACGTATTAAATTCATTTATTTCTTCATGAATTGAAATAAAAATGAAGAGACATTATAAGAAAAACGTGGATAATGACCATTAGTGGAACCCAGGACAAAGAACGTTTCGTCTTACTTAACACTCATCAGCTAGATGTACCTTTATTACAGTGTTCACTCTGGGACTCGAAGTGGATAACGAGATGACTTTTGAAGCGAACAGTACGTCAAGCTGACGAGTCATAAATGGGACGAAACGCGCATCCTGGATTCCACTGCTAGCCACCATCCATCATTGTTTAAAAAGTTTGTGACTTAAGGCAATATCGAGGCAATCCGCACAGGATGCACATATGCTAATAAGAGACTGATCAATTGTAGTCCTAAAGAGATCAATGGGAAGATTCAAGTAAACAAACCAAGTGAATTTAAAACTTCACCCCATCGCAAAAGCAAGTGTTTATCAGGACTCAGTAACTAAGTGGTTCACGCACTTTAAGCGAACGGTACTAAGTTCGAGTCCCAAAGTGAAACATTCTAATAAGCATAAAACTGTATATCTGATATTTCTCTTCTTTAGAAAATAAATAATTTGAAAAGATATTCCCAATTATTAAGAAAAGTAATTGACTGACTCTATTGCACTTAATAAACATGCTGGGTTTAACCTATCTGTCCAAATATTAAGTTTTTTCAAATCTCACATCACTAACACATATATAAAATTCAGATCTATTTCACTACATTGTAAATATCATATTTTACTAATCTATTCAAATATACAAACAAGTACATACATGTGTTGCATCACTAGGGCTAAATGATGGTTAGAAAGTAGTTTGAAGAATAAGGATTTTAGATGGTGGTTGGAGGTAGTCAACAGGAAACCCTGGACCCGGGTTTCGTATTACTTGGCACTCATCAGCAAGGTGTACCTGTAATCTTGAGGGAACTGGTGCTCCTTGGCGGATTCGATCTCATGTCACCCAGTGCCAAATAGCACGAAACCCGGGTTCAGGGTTTCCTGTTGACTATCTCCAACCACCATCTAAAATCTCAATACATAATGCCCACAGTGTCGAGTCACCTAGACTGGTGGCCATATTGCAATATGATCGATAGCATTCGATCTGCACTAATAAGGACTAGACAAGCATGACATTGATCACCACCCAGTGATCAATCAATTGTGAGAATAAGGATTATAATTCGTAGTGTATGGTTAAAGTTAAGAATCAGATTTACGATTTGTCATCACGAATTGACATCAACTAAAATGTGTCAAGATGCTATTTGACCAAATGGATAAATGAATTTCGCACCGAAATCCAAAACCTATCACCTCAAATCTGATTGGTTCGTTCATAAATTAAAGTCTCACCAATATTTCTTCTTAATACTTCTTACACTAAGAAAGTGTTAATAAAATAACATTGTTACGTAAGTTGATGTACATCTGATCTTATTAATCATGTAACCTAATTAAATTCTTTATGATTGAAATCATGAGTCAGTTGAAGCTAGACCACCATGAGAAACCTGGAAGCACTAGACGGCCGTTTCGTCCTAGTATGGGACTCCTCAGCAGTGCGCATCCACAATCCCGCCTAGAACGAGCCTAGAACGATCATTATGACCAAAATAATCTAATATGAATGATGATGTTAAATATGCTCATTAGATCTGTTATGATCTGATTGTGAAGAGTTCTCAGTATTGACTTGTATAGTATTTGTTTTATATTACACCGCTGAGCCGGCATCCAATGGTTTTAATGTTTAACCTCAACCAATCCACGAAATGGCGCGACCATCTTCCATTGTACTGAGGTAGACACCTGTTTCTAACCAACACGGATTGTCTCAGATGTTTAGTTGGTTAAGCGCCTGGCGTGAGACTGACAGGTCCTGGGTTCGAATCTCGTGGGGTGCGGGATCGTGGATGCGCACTGCTGAGGAGTCCCATACTAGTACAAAACGGCCGTCCAGTGCTTCCAGGTTTCTCATGGTGGTCCAGCTTCAATTGACTCATGATTTCAATCGAAAACTTAACAATCTCCACAACATCTAAACTGATAAATTCTTTATCATTCAATGAGTAATATCTATTAAACTAGAAGTCATCCCTTTTCTAAGGTGATTAGTTCAAAAATGTTGTACATACTATCAGTTCATGATGAAAACCTTCTTTCAAACAATGATTCATTCTCGAGAACATAATGCTCCATAAGTTATCGTGTATTTGGACAGATTACATAACAGATGTAATCGTAATAATAATGATATCGAAATGCTCACAAATTGTTACTTACCTTCAATAACCTTTGTTGTCACTGTAACTACCTCGTTTGTTGCTTCATCTTTAGTAAGTAATTTTGGTTTCTTTGATTTTGGTATTTTTCCATTATTCTGTAATATAAAAAAATTGAATAAATTTCGATTGTATATTCAACATTATAGTTATATAATATACCCTTGTGAGCCATGGTAAGTTTACTTTGGTTTTCAAGAGAACCAGACATCATCTAGACTGTCACGTAACAACTCAAATAGTACAGCTCAATTCTGTTTAATAGAAGAACCGGACACAATACAGGCCTAAACATTATAACCTGAGAAGTACAGTTCAACTCCGCTTCACAGGAGAACTAGACACCATATAGACTTTAACACTATAATCTAAATAGTACAGCTCAATCCTGTGACGTAACCACACAGGTACTAAGCACCCTGATGGACCACTACTCAAAATATATACATAATAAGTAAGTTTCACTTTTTTTTGTAAAGTAGCAACGATAAGAAATAGATACATTCAAATACATTCTACTTGTAAGTAGTTAAAAGTATTAACGTAGGCTTTCATTCAACTTGGTCTAATTAAATCATAATCAAATAGTTTTATAGTTGAATTCATGAATTTATTTTATTCCAGATCACCAAGGAAAACCCGAAATCACTAGACGACTGTTTCATCCTAGTATTGGGCTCGTCAAAAGTGTGAATTCACGATCCGTCCTTCGAGATGCGAATCCAGGACCTTCGATCTCGAGCACGAACGATTGACTTCTAGCACACTGAGCTGGCATCTGACGCTGCTAATGTCTAAATCCAACCAATCACGATATTTAGAGACCGACTGGCTTCATGAGATATTTCCTAGAGTTCTAATGAGAAGCCGTGATCAGTGGAATTCAACCGTGTTCGTTGTGAGGCAGTAACACACTTAAGACAATTTCTTTCCTTTTCACATTTGGATATTCTCCCTGAAAGAAACTAATTTTTATAAATTGCAATTTCGTAAAGGACCGATTTCGCTTGAAGTGCCGCTTGACAACTATCTGATGTTGTTGTGGAACAGCGCCTACCTATGGACCCATAACGAGTCAACTTTGAGACTTGAAAGTCTCGCAACTAACTGAATAATTCTTAAACCTACTAGGTAAACGTTCAAGGGTATAATCTCAACTGTAATCATCTGTTTTGATAAAGCGTGGCGATCATCCAATTCTGTTGATAATAATAATTCAACTCCTGATGTGTCGTCAGCACAATGATGAAAGGTCTTAGTATATACTGCTTCTTAACATTTAATAATTCCATAGATGATAAGAAAGATCTTGACAATTATTTACACCGTTTCCTTTAACTACTGAACCAATATTAACTGTGGTTATGTAAGTCATTGTTGAAACTGACGACGGATTAGCTTCAAATTGTTGACAGTTTTTCAAATGAAATATCATAGAACTATACTTAATATCTTACTTGTGGTCACCGTAACTTCCCATTATATTTTTTTTCTGTAATTACATTACTTTCTATCATTCCTTGACAAAAACCTATTTCGTTTATCTCATAATCATGAATGAATCATATTGTTTCCTGGCTAACTTTAATAACATTCCTCTATTGATTGATAGATTTCAATACTGTACACGCAAAATGTGCAATAACAATACAGGTTTTCCCAACCTAGAAACGAGAAAATTTATAGCCCACCACCGACCCCCCACCCCAAATTTATAACTAATGCCTTTGGATGAAAACATTAGTTTAATACTTGTAATAGACAAAACATTGTACCACAGTGCGTTATAATGTTTTTCCTATTCTTTTCTCTTCACTAATACATAGACATACATACGTTTGAGCGTGACTAAATCCAATCCCATGGTATAAATATATATATATGTGTGTGTAAGATTACAAAATTTTCAGTTCAAAAAATTAGGTAACTTGTGGTACGAGATGATTTTGGCTAGAGAAACATTAGAAACAGACAAGTGATGAATAACAGTTTTGTTCTAGTATGAGATTCTTCAGTAATAAACATTCTAATAATAACTAAACTTTCAATGGTTATCAAACTAAAGTTAGTCAATAATGTAATGCTAGGATGAAACGACCGTCCAGTGTTTCCAGGTTTTCCATGGTGGTCTAGCTTCAATTGACTCAGGATTTCAATCAGTGAGATTTCTAAAATCTCCACAAAACCCATTCTGATAATAATCAGCTGCTCACTAGTGACTCACTTCAAGAGATAATCCTGGAGTTCTAGTGAGAAGCCGTTACCAGTGGAGTTCTGTCAGGTCTGTTGTGAGATATCAGCTCACTGAAGACAATGGTGTGCGGTGGCAAAACTTTGTGGATTAGTCTAAGTTAGATGTTAACACCGTCGGATGCCGGCCGGCTCAGTGGTCTAATGGTCAAGCGCTCGCACTCAAGACTGACAGGTGCTGGGTTTGAATTGCGCGGAGGGCAGGATCGTGGATACGCACTGTTGAGGGGTCCCATACTAGGACGAAACGGTTGGCAAGCGCTTCCAGGTTTTCGATGGTGGTCTAGCTTTAAGTGACTCACGGTTTCAATCAGTGAAGTTTCTAAAAAATCTCCACAAAACCCCTTTCTGATAATAATGTAATACTATCAAATACAGTGATATCAGCATTTGCCCCTATACTGACAAACGATCATATACCAACCTGTAACTAATTTAGAGATCTGATTCCTAAAGTCTTATTGAGAAACTATGAAAAGTTCAAAGACTGTTGGAGTGAAACAAGTATTACCAAAAAGATGAAAAGTAAAGTAGAAAGAACAATGAAATATATTTTAGTAGAGTTCAAATACGAAATATAGTTGGTAGATGCAGAATACTTGGTTGGAGTCCGCCTGACTATCGTAGCCAATGATCGGAAACTGTGTGTGACATGGTTCAGAATCGATCACGATGGCTTACGTGTATACACTCTTTGTCTTCCTTTGAACTAAGAAATTAAAATCGCTTGATATCTTTCTTTCTGCGAACTAATTCTTTCTTCCTGTACTATGTCCTTATATGCAAACGTTTCTTTATATATTACTATCATTGCATTAAATACTTCTATGAATTCGGTGTTTATCTTGTTGTGCTAATGAATAAGGTGTAGCAACTTTACCGATGCATATATGTGCCTGGTCCTACGTTGTACTCGACTGTCTGACTGACTGACTGATAGTTTAAAAAAAAATGAATGGGATCAAAGAACCAAGAGTATGGTATAAAACCAGATTAAAAAGTTAGATGCAGGATGAAAACTGAATCCAACTGTAACTCAACAACTGATTTCAAGTAGTATTACCCAATATTTCCGAGAATATATATTGCTGTTATCGAACGAGTCTTAACTAACAAGTCTAAACTTTTTGATATAGACCAGCTTAAGAGTTAACAACCAAATAGACTGAAATTATGTCGTAGTTTGCTTTCCTCTAATCTTCTTTTAATCTAAATCTATACCAATTCCAACTCATGAACAAACCATATTAGTTAAACAAGTGATAATAATAATTATGTGATTTGTGCTACTAATGTCGACAGATATAAGTAGTATATATATCAACAGTCGAAAGTGAAATGCCTGATGGCATAAGGTTAAAAAGATTGGAGAAAAAAGAACGAGAACAAAGAATGGTTGGTATGGAAACGAAAGAATTGAATGACATTATGCAAATGGGGCGTTTACTATATGATTCATAGATTTTACTAAAGGATTCTATAATCTTATATCCTAATATATTTGGTTGTCCCCATTTATGTTCTCGTTCAAGGTTAAATCAATAAGATTGGATCTTTTCATAAATTTTGTCTACAATCCATAGATTTGATCATTGTTTTCCAAATATATAGGGAGATCTAATATTTCAGCCTGTAGCTTTTCTAGGGTTACTACTAGTCCCAAGCTCGGATAAAAGAGGAGGGTTCGGTATGGAGTTAGCAACCCCATCCAGTAGAAAACTAACTCGCTAGAACAAACGCTAACCAGAAAAATCAGTTCAAACCACTTTAAAATCTGATGATAATAATCATCTTTATTTTCCAATCCAAAAATAAATCAATAAATCTTAAAACAACAAAAAAGAAAAAAAGAAGAAAAAGAAAGAGGATAAATACGAACAAAAAAGCCGCAATAAGAAGATCAATTTAAGAAGAACAAATCAAATCCATTAAAACAGCATAGAATCAATGAATTTAGATATTGATTTGTCTGAAAAATTGTGGATAATTGGATGGTGATTGAAGGTAGTCAATAGGAAACCCTGGACACGGGTTTCGTATTACTTGGCATTCGTCAGCAAGGTGTACCTGTAATCTTGAGGGAACTGGTGCTCTCTGACGGATTCGCTTCAGTGTCACCCAGCTTCACAATCAGAGACGTTACCACTAGGCTATCCTGGCCGTGACAACTATATTATTATACAGGTTGAAATCATTAATCAGTTGAAGCTAGATCACCATTGAAAACCTGGAAGCACTTGACGGCCGTTGAAGTTAGACATTAACACCGTTGGATGCCGGCTCAGGATCTGGTGGTTAAGTCTCGCGCGCGAAGCCAGTAGGTCCTGGGTTCGAGCCCCGCGTGGTGCGGGACCGTGGATGCGCACTGCTGAGGAGTGCCATACCAGAACGAAACGGCCGTCCAGTGCTTCCAGGTTTTCACTGGTGGTCTGGCTTCAACTGACTCATGATTTCAACCTGTGAAATTTCTTAAACTCTTCACAAAACCCATTCTGATATATTATTATACTACTGATATAATAATTAGTAGAAAATTCTAAGAAATTGTATTTACTTAAAATAGATGAGATCATAAGTGAGTTGAAGCTAGATCAACATGAAAAATCTGAAAGCACTGGACGGCCGTTGCATCTGATTTTTATAATCGTCAGCAGTGTGCATACACGATACCGCCTTACGAGGTTCCAACCTACAACCTATAGGTCTCGTGAATGAACGCTTAACCTTTATTAATTACTTATTCTGAAAAGTAATTATGATTCACTTGTACTAGAAACCAGACTCTGTTTCTTTCTCACTCCCTTATATAAATATAGTTGTCGAACAATGTAACAAGACCCAAACGTCC